TGGATGGCTTAGGGCCTTTCACTTTCAGTCTAGCCTACCTCATAGGGGTGTCATGAGGATAAAACAAGGAATCAGGCAGCTGTTTTGGATTCTTTGCTAGGAAAAAGGCAGGAGAGAAATATAACCTTGTGGCAAAAACTACAGCATCTGGAAGAAAACACAATTAGTGTAAGCCACCTAGAGAGCTTCAGCTGTGGAGCACTATAGAAATGAAATAAATTAGTAGTAGTAGTAGTAGGATTGTTAGTGTATAATAATAATAATAATAGTAATAATAATTTAACAATACATAACCTTATCTGTGTATATGGTGCTTTACAAAGAACTGGTATGTCATGTGCCAATCCTACCCCAAGAACAAAATTTCTAAAGTAGAGGAGACAGAAGAGACAGAGTGGAGAAATAATATTTATTTAAGGTGCAATCCTATGCTTGTTTAAACAGAAAAAGGTGGGAGCGCAGGACAATTTCTATCTAATACGCACAGGATTATATCCTCCATGTATTTTTCTCCCACTGCTCAGCCAAAAAGGCTCTAGGAGTGATTAATCAGCCTGTAAAGTAAGACTGTCCTTGCCCTTAAGCTTACAATCTAAAAGGATGCAATGCGTGAGGAAAAAGGTATGAGGAGGGAAGAGGTGGAAAAATAAGTAGTCTTTCACAGCAGAATTAGTGGGAACGGATGCTGGACAATGTCACTATTTCAATTCCAGTTTCTTCCACTTAAGAGCATTTGCTTTCCATGAGGGCAAGGAGCAAGGGTGGAAATGACTGTGGCTGCCTTCTGAGTGAAGGAGCAGCTATTCTAGAGGGGTCAGGAGAGGGAGAAGGTGGGATGGGTGAGACCTGCAGGGGAAAAAGAGAAAGAATAAATGCAATAAAAAGAAATGATACTTGGGGAGAAAGGGAGGGCGGATGGGTGCCATCCTGTTGGAAACAGCCATCTCGGGCAGGGGGCTTTGGAAGTTGTGAACCTCAAGGTGGCAGGAGTGGGGCAGAGGAAGAGATCACACATACCCCCCCCCCCACTACCCTGCTGCTTGGGGCTACCACAAGCCTTTCAGGACCACCCAACATCCACTCCCCTCTTCTCTGCTCTGGGAAAAGCCCTTCCTTCCATCTTCCTCCACTCTTCTATTATTCAGCTCCAGAGCTCTAGCAATTGTGAGAGAGGGGGAAAAACGCCCGTCCACTTTTCCCCCAATACATGCATTTATACATCTTCGTACCATTCCTCCTCAGTTGCTTCTGCCCCTTCCAAACCAAGCTGCACAATCTGTGGCCCAGTTTCTGAAGCCCCCCCCCCCCGCAATGCTCCAATCTCCTCTGCCGCTTCTCCCCTCTAGTGATCTTGATAGTTTTTCTCTAGATTGCCCACCTTTGCAGCTGAGCGAGTACAGAAAGGGAGGCCTTTTCCACAGTGGCCCCCATCTCTGGATTGGGTTGGCATGTGGGGGGAAAGCCCTGAAGACTTGACTGGTTCATGCTGGGCTTAGTGCTAAGGGTCAGATATAGCCTTGCTCATCTTTGTTATTTTATTAATGTTCTATTAGGGTTATGTTATGCTATAGAATTGCTGTGGCCTGCCTTGCAGAGACTCCTGTGTATGAAGTACTCTAGAAATATTTCTAAATAAATAGATCACTAAAGGAATGGAGGAGAAAATACCCCATTCCCTCCACCAGCAAATCTAATAGAGCACTTTCCCTACCAGAGCTTATCAGCAAGGAAAGGATGTTTTGTCTTCAAAGTGTTTCTGAAGGGCTGGGAAAGCAGCCCGCCAAAACAGTGGCAGTGGGTAATCAAAACAGTCAAGGCCAGAGCAACTCCCATGTGGGAAAAGGAGTTGCATGGGGTGCTTTGGGGGTGGGGGGGTGCAGTTTTAGACCTGAGGGCCAATGCAAAGCCCATTTGAAGATTGCTCTTATGTAGAGAGTCTCTCTCTCTCTCTCTCTCTCTCTCTCTCTCTCTCTCTCTCTCTCTAGTGATGCTCATGCAAACTGGTCTTTCTTTGCTGCTTGCTGGGGGGAGCATTTAACAGTGTAACCCAAGAAATCTGGCAAGCTAAGGATCTGCCTCTCATGTTCTCTTTCAAGGCAATTCTTGCATGCCCAGAGGGGGTCCGTTAAAGGCTATTAAGTCAGTTAAAACAGAAAGGAGTAGCAAGCCCAGGAACTGCCAGGTGTTAATGGCCCCCGCCCCCAGTGGTGTCGGCCTCAGCAGGTACCCAGCACTGCCTCCCTTGGACACCTCCGCTGAGCAGCCCTGTGACCCACACCTGCGCAGGCTCCTGTGAGGCCGGCCTTTCCTGCTGGGTCCCTGGATAGGAGGGAATGACCCTTGCAGCTGACTAGAGAAAAACTCCCCTCCCTCCATGTTGCCCTGTGGGGAATTAATAGAGCCAGGCTGTTCACGAGCAGTGAATCATGCAGAGATGCAAGGGGCAGCCTCTTCTCAGGGGAGGGAGTTCTGCTGCATCTCTGCAAGGAGAGGAGCCCATCAAACCAGAGGAAAGCACAGAGAGAAGCCAAACAGGAAAGTACAGAGAAGCACCTGCTGGTCTCTCCCCAGGCGATGCTGGTTGGAAGTACACAAGTCCGGTGAATCAATCTCCTCTAAGGACAGTTAATTCTGATGTTTCTCTCCCCATTGGGAGAGAATCAATCACACCCAAATGAAGATGCAACAGAAACCCCCACTTGCGAGAGGAAGCTGATTAGAAGCAATGAAGCCCAGTGCAACAACTCATGCAGAGACACAGAGGGAAGCCTCCTACAAGGATGGTTAATTCCACTGTACCTCTATCCTGAAAGTGACGGAATGAGCCAATCACATCCTAACAGAGGGGTGGCACATCACTTAACCTTGCCAGTGTGGGCTGACTGGAAGGAGCCAAGCCTGGAGCAAAAACTCATGCAGAGGCAATCGTGAGCCTTCTCAGAGGGGAGGGAAGAATTTCCTGCCTAAGGTGACTTTCCCCAACCTGGTGCCTTCTAACTCCCAACAGTCCTGGACAGCATAGGCAAGAGTTAGGCAACCTGGGAGCCATCATCCAAAACACCTGTACAGAAGCAGGCTGTCCTAGGGAGTGTAATCACGAATGCCATCAGGTGATTACACCTGATTAGGCCTGCCTCAGAATAGCATTCACTTACCCAACTACAGCTGAGCAAGTAGTTCAGCTGATGGAGAAGCTGAACTTTGGAGAAACTACTGCCAAGGAGCCAAGAGCCTGGACAGGCAGTGCATAGGGTCCCGTGTGTTTCAAGGCACTATGAATTAAGATTTGTGAGAAGACTTGCTTCAGACCATTTCTATTGTTAGCCTTTTCTCAAAAACAAGAGTTTCCTAGGAGTCACTGTTAGCACAGAGCATCATGCAGAGAAACATCTGGTTAGACTCCCCTCTTTGGTTGAATGCTTTGGTGTAGTGCAAGCTGGACAATGTCAGGGCCAAGGGTCAAATCAGACCCTCCAAGGGTCCCTGGGTGGTTGTATCCTCTCCCTGAATCTGCCATCTTTCCAACTCCCAATGGTTTAGTTGTTTCCTGACTTCTGAGCAGCTTTCCCCATTCTCCAAGGTTGAAACGTCTCTCTCCCAAGGCTTAGTACAAGCTTAAGCTACAATACATGGCCATTTTTGTGTCACATAACCTGCTCTGGTGCTACCCTTTGCTTTTGCTTCCATCCAGCCACGGGAATGGGGTCCCAAGAGCTTCTCCAAAATAGAATTTGGTTCTGAGGAAGAGGTTCAGTATCCCTGGTGTAGTACCTAAGAGTGTCAGACTGAGGCCCGAGACAGCTGGGTTCAAACACCTGCCCTGCCCTAAATAAAGCTCACTCCCTGACCTTCCGGCCAGCCCAAGACATTTTGCGACTTCGCATAAAGGCCAAGGCGAAGGGGCAGCTCCCCGCCACTCCCACTCCACACAGATATCCCAGCAAGTGAACCGGACTGCAAGCACTGGTGACCAAAGGGAATCCACCACTGAACCCGAGGCAGCAGTCCGGCTTAAGGAATGCAGGGCAGGCCACTCCGACCCCTTGAAACTGTTCCGTCCTTCCTACCCTCCTTTGCCTGCAGTGGCCGTTTCAGAATCATAGAATAAAGTTGGAAGGGGCAATGAAGGCCATCAGGTCCAACCCCTGCTCAGCGCAGGCCTCCCAGTTAAAGCGTCCCTCTCAGATGGCTGTACAGGTGCATCTTGAACGCCTCCAGTGTGGGAGAGCCCCCCGCCCCCCGGGTCCTGGGCTCCATTGTCATACTGCTCTAACAGTCAGAAAACTTTTCCTGGTGTCTCATTGGAATCTGCCTTCCTGTAGCTTGAGCCCGTTATTCCACGTCCTGCACCCTGGGATGATCGAGAAGAGGTCCTGCCGTTCCTCTGTGGGACAGCCTTTCAGGCATTTGTACAGCATTATCACAGCTCCCCTCAGTCTTCTCTATTCGAGGCTAAACATGCCCAGTTCTTTCCCTCTCGCCTGACAGAGCTTTGTTTCCAGTCCCCGTTTCTCCCTTGTTGCCCTCCCCTGACCCCTTCCAGCTTGTCTGCGTCTTTCTTCACTGAAGAGCCCAGAACTGGGTACAGGACTCCTAACCAGGGCCGAGTAAAGGGGTACCAGCACTTTACCCATCTGAAAGTGATCCTCCTATTAATGCAGCTTAAATCAGCACTTGCCCTTTCAGCAGCCGCATCACGCTGTTGGCTCACTGCCGAACCGGCCCTTCCTCGGACTAGCCATTCTTACTCCGTCTAGCCTACCTCACAGGGTCATGATGAAGACAAAAAGGTAGGGAAGCAACCATACACACCACCTGCAACTCCTTGGGGGGAAAACGTAAGATAAATACCGCAGACATGCTGTTGTTTTCTAAAAAGGAGCCTTTATTTTTTTCTAGCAGTGCACCAAGGATTCCTTCAAGGTACGTGAGGGAGTCCCGGCCCGCAAGTCGAAAGCTACTTCAAACTAAACCTTACTAGGCCTAATCATGTATACAACCTGCCCTGTGTGTACCCTTTTATGTTTTTTGAGGTCGGAGCTGGAGACGAAGCTTTTCGGACACTCGGAGCACTTGTAGGGCTTCTCCCCCGTGTGGGTGCGCTGGTGCGTAATGAGGTTGGCTTTGACGCTGAAGCTCTTGCCACAGTAGGGGCAACTGTAGGGCTTCTCGCCCGTGTGTCTCCTCTGGTGTTGGACCAGGTGTGCCAGCTGGCTGAAGTTGTTGCCGCAATACGAACAGTTGTAGGGCTTCTCACCGGTGTGCACCCGTTTGTGTGTGAGCAGCCGAGAGTTTGTCACAAAGCGCTTCCCGCACTCGGAGCAGGGATAGGGTTTCTCCCCCGTGTGGGTCTTCTTATGTATGTTGAGGTTTCCCTTCTGGCTGAACCGTTTGCCGCACTCAAAGCACTGGTGCGGCTTGCCCCCATGGTCAGTTTCCTCGGTGGCGCCAAGGGAGCTGCCCCACAAGACCCGTTCCCCACAAGCTGCCCCTTTGGACGGCTTTTCTCCCTTCTGTGTCCTCCAGCGGTCAGAACTCAGGTGAAGGAACTGACCGCAGTCGTCGCCCCTCTTTTTGGACTTGCAACGGCAGCCCCCCTCTGGGACTTCGGGTGAGCCTTTGTCACGCCTCAGCGTGGCTGCGCGGCCGGACAATTCGCCACCACGCGACGGAAATTTGCATGGCTGCTCTCCTCCGGGGGCTCTCTCACGGACCGCGGCGCACGACTTCTTGTGGACGCGCTCGCCACACAGCGTGCATCGCCGCGGTTTCTCTGCCGCTTGCCCTTTCCGGTTCTTCAGGAAGCCGAAGTTCTGAGAGAGGCCGTTTTTGGCACTGGACGTCCTCTTCTTCTTCTGACTGAGGGCTCCGTCTTGGAAGTTCCTTTTGCGCAAGCCTTTATCACTTTTGACAGAACGGAAGGACTCTTTCGTACCCTTCCCTGGATTGTTTTCCTGGTGGCTCCCAAACACCTCTTCCGCCTCGGGGGCCTGAAAGCACTTCCCTTCGGTTCTTTCCAAAGACAGTCCCCATTCTGTAGGGCCAGGTATTTCCGGAAGTACCTCCTTCTCCGTGTTTCCTCGCATCTGCTCTTCGTGTTCTGGAACAAATGGATAATCACAACAACAATTATGTGGAATAGCCAGAGTGTTCATTGTTTCGCTTTCTAATTCAACTGACAAGATCCGAGGGCATCTTATTGAACGTTAGGCTGCCTTTCCACATACAAACACATCTATGGAGAAGAATTGCTGGAAAATGTCTGATGCGTTACTTTTAGAGGCAGCTTCCACTTTCTGTATGTCACTCTGCTTTTATGCACATTTTATCATCAGGCTATCACAAGCAGGTCCCGCATGGAAACGCTGCTGTGGCTATGCTAGCTGGGGATGATGGGATTTGTGATCCAGCACTTCTGCGGGGTGCCAGATGCAGCAAGGGCTCCACATGCAGAGAGTGAATTTGCTATTTCTGTGCAGTGGGGGTGCCAAACCTCAGGCCTAGGGTCCCAATCCGGCCCTCCACATTTCACCACATGCCCCTAGCCCCAGCTCTAAACCAGAGCCCATTTGGTGGTTTCCTAGTCAGGCTCAGTAACTGGCAGGAAAAGCGTTACACAAAAATATAACACACTGGGCATATTTAGGCCCTTTCCACAAGAATGAAGCCTCCGAAAGCATCTCTGAGGAAAAGAGCTCCGACACACCTCCTTGGACCTGCTTAGCCTTGAACCCGGTACTCAGAAGGTCTGCCCTACCAAGTGAGTCAGCATCCTCCTCCTCCTCCTCTTCCTCCGAGGAGATGCAGCTCTCCACCATGTCCGATGGTTCCTGCTCTGATGAGGGGGAATTAACAAACGCCTCTCCCGGAAGTCCAGATGCCTGAAATCCAAGCATGTGTTATTCGTCAAGGTAGCACAGGTCAGCCTTCCCAGTTTGGTACCAGCCCTAGATATGCCAGGTTGCAACATCCACCAGCCCCACTTTCACATGCATACATCCATCATCGCTCTGCCGACTACACCAAGGCACACCTAATAAAAAGGACCTGAGAAGAGCGTTCGTTTTGGATGCCAGCTTATGGTTCCCTTCATATTCCAGGGAGGGGCAATCCAAAACCCACCCAACAAAATGCCACAAAGCATTGTGCAAGCTTTCATGTTCTCCAGAACACTTCACCAGGCTCGGTGATACAGAAGGCAGGAGAGGAGGGAAAGAAATGGAAAAGCGTTTAAAACTTTGGCCAGGTGCTGCTGGAAGGATGCCAGCAGCTTAAGCTCTGCTTCTAGACAGGCTGAATGAATAAGGGTGCAGACATTTGCATGTTTAGGCAGAAAAAAAGTCCCGCATCTCTCAGCATTCCTTGGAAGGCGAGTATCGGCAGCTGCAGGACTTCTTTCCCGCTAAACCAGCATAGGATCATGCCTAAGTCACTGAGAGGTGCTTCAGGGACCAGATTCCACCTGGCAATGCATTCTGGGACAAAGAATCAGTGGCTGGCCACCATTTCTGAAAACAGAAAGGCCTGCTGCAGCTCCATTCTGACTCCTGCCTGGGACCAAAACACGCGCTTCTGAATGGACAGAGAGCATGAATGAAGAGAAACACAGCACTCTTGCATATTAGCTAGCCTGGAGATTAATCTTAGGTAGCACCCCTTGAGGCCCCTTCCCCTCATACAACTAGGTACTAGCATCCAAGTTGGCATTAACAGACTTTTATCTTTTAATTGATCGTATGAAGGATCAGCTCAAAGGAATGAAAAAAAGACTGCACAAAAGCATTCATTTTTTCCTTCACAAGATAGCAGAAAGAAAAGGAAACCCACGCGAATGTCCCTGACTGAGCTGCTTCTGGTTTCGGTGAAACACCTCTGCTTGGCAGGATCAGAGGTTGTCAGTGAGCCATGCGAACCTGAACTGATGGATTGTTTATGGGCTAAACAATCCATGGTCTGTTGCTCTGCCTCCTGAGCAACTGGTTTCACTCTGCCTAAGGACAGGCCCTGGCTGAGCCCATCAGACACCATCCCTACCTTCTCTTCGTGGCTCTCGGCTTCCTGCAGCCTCAGGAGGAAGCTTTCGGCCAGGGCTAGAGCCTGGGCACAGGAGGCCGGGCCACTCTTGCAGACCCAGATCTGCATCTCCAGGGGCAGGATGGTCAGGAACTGCTCCAGGATCACCAGGTCCACAATCTGCTCCTTGCTGTGCCGCTCCGGCACTAGCCACTGGCGGCACAGCTCCTGCAGTTCGCTCAGAATCGCTCGGGGGCCCTCGATCTCCTGGTAGCAGAAGTGCCGGAAGTGCTGGCGCTTGATCTCCAAGCAGTCAGCAGCGTCCTTGTCCAGGACTGGGCCCTTCGATGCTCCGGAACATTCTGAGCTTTCATAAGTCTCGTGGGCTTTCCCACCCAGGCCCGGAAATGTAGGCGTCCCCACGCCGCGCTCTCCTCTGGGCAACCAGCTGGTGTCTTTTACTGTACGAAAAGAAGCCTTAAATTCCTTCATGTCCTCTTTTGAGACAGGCTCAAATAGCCGCGAAGGCCTCCAAACGGAGTAGGGAGACTGTGCTCCCTTTGGGTCCTTTTTCTGGCACCGCTGCCGCTCCACTTCCTGCTTGTTATGGGGTGACACTGCCCCACGCAGAGCTGCCTTGAAAACACGGGGCTCTCTTTCGCTTCGGTTCTCTCTTGACCCCGACCCCAGCAGGTTATATTCCGCCATTCTTGATCTTGTTGGCTGCACCTGAGCTGGGAAAGGAATTTTGATGCAATCAGATGCAACATTGTGCGCATTTACATTGTTCTATATTTTACTCTTGTAAAAAATAGGTATTGTGCCTTACATTCCACCTGTTCCTAGAAAGTTTCAGTCTGTGAATTATTTGTAATCTGTCCATTGGTGACTGGGAAGGTGAAAAAATAAAAAATAAATGAATTACCACCCAGTTTTGGCTCTTGGGTGGTACAGAAATGAAATAAGAAATAACTCATAAAATGAACCGAAGCCAGTGCTGAGGTAGAGTTTAAACAAAAACAAAAACTTAAACAATTTTATACTGCTGTCTATAAAGGTCTCTTCCTCAACTTTCCTCTGAGAAAAAGTTACAAGAGCTGGGACTCTGAAATAAAGTCCCAAAGCTGGGACTTACCTTTGAAATAAAATAAGTGAAAGGAGCCATGACAGAGGTGTACAAAATTATCAATTTTGTGGAGAACTTATCTACAGAAACATTTTTCTCCATTGCTCAAGGAGTCATCCCATGAAACTGCTTGGTGAGAGATGCTGGACAGACAGTACTTAGTTAAAACTGTGCAATTTACTACCACAAATGTAGTGATGGTCACCAATCTGTGTGTTGTGTTTAGAGGGAATCAGGCCAGTTCATGGGGGAGAAGGCTATCCATGGCTACAGGCTAGCTGCAGAATGAGAAATAGTCTCTATAAACCATTTTATTTAACTGGTATTTTAAAAACTAGCCTGTAACAGTCATGGATGTCATTTATTGCTCAGATTGTTTTTAATGCATTTGATTTGTATTGATGGTGAACCGTCCCGAGATGCCTTGCATAAGGGACATACAAAAGTTTTAAATAAATAAATACCTTACAGACTTCTCACAAGCAGTTGGTTAGCCACCATGTGAACAGAACGCCAGACTAGTTCAGCCTTAGTCTGCTCAGATTCTACTGAATTCATTGCTACTTACTCCCACATAAAGGACCAAATTACCTGAGAAACTGCCTGTCCTAGAAGACTCTGTTTTCTGTTTGGACCATACCCAGGACCAGGCGGGGGTAGGACAGACAGGGCCCCCTCAAGTGTGGCACCAAAACTGTGGGAATTCCTTTAAGGGAGATTCACTAGGACTTTAGGCCAAAGGACTGCATAGCTGAGCAGCAGGGCACGTTCTGGGTTCAGTCCCCAACATCTCCAACTAAGCACAGGACCATGCCTAAAATCAGGGCAATGGAGAATATAGACTGGGATTTACTGGTAGATCTCTGGGCGATCTGTAGAATCCACAAGATAACTTCTAACTCCTTAGTGGCAGCAACAACAGAAGGGCTTTTCCCACCTAAATTAGACTGATGACACAAAGTGCGCGTGCGTGCGTGCGTGTACATGCATGTGTTTTGCAGAACACAAAGTGCACAAAAGTATCACAAGCCTGGCTTGGTTCTGGCACTGAAAGCAACTTCTTCAGCTCAAAAAGTACTCAGAAGCATCCTGTTCTTTACAGAGTGAAGGAAGGCCTGGCCCCACTGGTCTGATTCTGCTCCAGGTCTGACAAGAACTGCCCACCTCTGGCTGCAGCTGGCCAGGAAGTCGATCCCCCAAGGCATTCTGATTTCCCATTTTTTAACAATTAGCAACCACAAAAGGCTTTCTTTCCTTTCAAAATCCAGCAACTATGCTCTCTCCTCTGCAGGCATTCAAATGCAGATTTGTAGTCCTATATGCAGGGCACCCCAGTGCATAGTTCATGGGGCCCATTAGATCATTGGGTCTGCCCCCAACCCAGTACTTTGCACCTGGCTCTGGTCCCTGGAAGACCTAAAGGGTTTTAGGAAAATAAAAAGTGGCAGCAAACAAGACTAAAGGCTGTGCATCGCCCAAAAATGAGTACAGCTATTTGGTTTGCTTTTTCCCAAGGAGTTTCAGAAACAGATGCTAATTTGAGAATAATAAAGCCTAAAGTGACGGATCTTGACTAATCTTGGAAGCTAAGCAGGGTAGGGTCTGGCTGAAATCTGGATGGGTGACTTAAAATACTGTGAACTGCCCAGAAAGCTTCCGCAATGGGCTGTATAGAAATGCAATACAATAACAGTAATTTAAATAAAAATGCAATCTACTCCATCATAGAGAGGAAGTCCATGGCCAAGGTGACTGCCTGGTTAGTTTGTCATCCTGGGGCTGTGTCAGGGCCTCCACTTTAAAATGGAGGACTGTACTCTCTAAAATAGGGCACATGACCACTTGGACGAGGTGGAGGCAGTATTCCTAGGACAGTTGGTAGAAGTGTATGTAATTCCATTTGATGTTTGATTTGTTACTTGTTTTGCCCACTGTTTCCTTTTTCTCTCCGAAGAGGACTGGGCCAGTCTCACTGTTTATGCCTCTACAGATACCCAGTGCTGTAATACTAATCAGCAATCCCACAATGCTTTCCTCAGCTATCCCCACTGTAGATTTATATTTATTTATTTAGCAGACTGATATACCTGCTAAATAAATTTGGGGAAGTGGTAGAGATGGTGAGGAAACACATTGGAAAGATTGTACATCTTGTCAATAGCTGTCAATAAAAATCAACTTATAATATTAACACTGATATTTTGAAGTTCCTATCCTCTGGATGTTTTAACAGAGTGTTTTACCCAGTTTTAACAGTTCTGGCAAGCTGCTTTACTATCCCATTCACAGAAAAGAAGATGCACTTTGTAACGGAAAACCAAAGGCTGCTGTCCTATAACCAAAAGCACTAGAAGAAGTCTTACTGAACTCAATGGAATTTATATCTGAGTAGCCATAGACAAAAGCAGTCCCCAGCTGGGCGCTCTGGCTGGGGATGATGGGGGGGAATAGCCCAACATATTTGGAGAGCATTCAGTCAGGGAAAGCTACTGCATAGGACTGCACTGGAAACCCTTTACAGGAGTCAATCTTTATTCCCTGCTATTGCTTTCTGTAAAGTCTCTATCCTCATTTTATTCCCCTTTTCCATTTTTTTTAATGTTTTGAGGCTCGGATCGGTACACCCCCTTACGAGAGAGAGAGAGAGGACCACTTTTCGCACCCCAGAGTATAATTTCATAACCGTGGAAGCCCTACGCACATCTTCCCAGAAGTCAGCCCCACGCAATTCAACGGGGCTCACTCCGAGGAAGTGCAAAGCAGGCGCAGAGCGGCGGCCCCAGGAGCAGCGCCTCCGCGACGACTCGGAAGTCAGCTGCACCAGGTCCAAAGGGGCGGCGGACTCGCAGGGAAGCAAGCGCGCGCAGGACCGCAGCCGCGAGGGTCACGCGCCTCCGGCTCCACTCCGCGTCCTCGTGGCCCCCTCCCCCCCGCTCGGGACCGGCCCCCCCCCCCCGCAATCCTCCCCCTCCCCCACCTGAATTGCTCCTCCGGGCTTGAACTCACCTTCTCTTCTCGGCCTCTGCATTTCAACTTTTAAGCCATCTCGCAACGCCGCCGCGGCTCCAAGGATGGGGAAGCATACAAAGGACAGTTTCTCACCGAGAAAGGAAGGGTGCAGGACAGGAAGGGGAGGAAGACGGAGGCGACCCTTTCGCCCAATTCCCCCTCCTCCTCTCCCTCCTTTTATACCTCTCTAGGCGTGGGAGCTCTGTGTCCTTAACCCCTTGAGACAAGGAGGCGGCGCAGGCGCGCTGGTCACTCTCCTGCAACAAGTGGGGCCGTCCTTTCCCGCGTCCCGGCGGGCGCGTCCTTTGCTCTTCCGCTCTCCCCGCCCCCCTGAGTTATCGCTCCCAGAAAGCTGTGCGGGCACGCCCCCAATACTTTAGGGGGGGTTTCGGGTGGACTCCCCCAAAAATAACCCATTCATTTATTTATTTCATATACCGCCCCCTAGCCTAAAAGGCGCTCTGGGCGGTTTACAAAGTTATCTCATAAAAGCTAATATAACAATATACCGATAAAAACAGGAAAAACAGGCAATAAACAATAATAAAAACAACCCCAGGACAACTAATGAAATTGGCACACGGGTACAGCAGCAGCATCTACTAAAACCCTATTAACACGACAACTTTTAACTATTGAAATGTCTAGAAAATAGAAAGGTTTTCACCTGGCACCAATTTCTGTCCAAGCCTGCAGGTGCTTTCTGCTTGGATTGTGTGGATGGGGCTGCTTTGGCTACCTAAGAATTGACAATCAGAGAATAGATTCCACATTAATGAAATACAAGCAGGGGAAAGCAGATTTCAGCTTGTAGGGATTCATTATTAAAATTATTATTAATAATAATAACTAGGTTATTGTTACTAGGGCATTTTTACTAAATTACTCTTATTTTACCCCCATTGCATTAATTTATTATTTATTAATTTTCTGCACTGCCCATAGCCAGGATGGCTCTCTGGGTGGTTTACAAAGACATAACAACATATACAATAAAACAGTAGTATTAAATCTAACATACATACTAGAACAAAGAAATAACAGTAAAACACAGTAAAGCCCTCACAATAAAAACCCCACTGCAGTTGCAATTCAAATCAAACCAAGAGCAAAGTAGCACTAAAATACAATAAATAGCATATTTAAAAGTTATCTTAAGAATTATTTCAATGTTAAAGTGTTGGGCAGGTACGAAGGTTTTCACATGGTGCAGAAAGGAGTAGAGAGAGGATGCCAGGTGAACTGATTCCAGAGTTGGTGTGTCACTACATAGAAACAGAGCAACTCAGAAGGGGTCTCCCAGGCCATCCAGTCTGACCCCCAGCTCCACTCACAACATGCCCACCATGGGCATGTCCAGCCTATCTTTGAACACCCTCACCGATGGGGCCTCAACCACCTCCATGGAAGCCCATTTCACACCCTCGGGGTCCTGACTGTCAGGAAGTGCTTCCTGACATCCAAATTGAACCTTGGTTCCCTGAGCTTTGCTCCGCCTGAAGAGACCCTTCTCTTTGTAGCCACCCTCTTAGTTTCCTTCTCATTCTCCTCTGAGAAGAATCTCTCAGATGACAATCTTAGGGTCCAGTATGCACTTTATGGATCCTGTTCACTAGAATCAGAGCCTGGTGCAAAAGACAACTTGAATTGTGAGTATCGGAACAGAGGTCAGAGCCCTTCCACACACAACTCCACTCCAAGTTACTCCAGGCTTTCTTTGTTTCAGCAGTACAATTTATCACAGCAGGGGAATTTTTATTTTTATTTTTTGGGTTGCTCTAGTTTGTTATGAAATGGGAGTCAGAAGCCCTTGTTAATCTACTGCAAAACCCTGAGACCCGCCAACCAGTTCTGATCCACCTCTGTCATACAAAAAATGGGAATTAGCATCAGTTGCCAAAGACTTTGTGGGGAGGCAAGCACCGGGTAGGGGAAGCTGTCCTCAGTGGCCCCTCCTCTCCCTTGCCACTGCAGCCCCGTGCATTTCCTTGTGTTACTCCTCAGGGCCCAATCCGCACCCCCACCCACAGCGAGCAGGCCCCGCAAGTGTGAGCTGTTGCTCTTTCTTGCTTTAGTCACACTTCAGGGGGGCAGACAGTAGATCCCCAGATGTATTGTATGGGACTTCCAGCTCGCAGAAGCCTCTGGCAGCATGACCGATGGGCAGGAGAGCTGGGAGCTGAAGACCAAAATATCTGGAGGTCTCCTGGGCCACCCCAGATTAGGAGAAATATGGGATTTGGCAGTGGGACTCTCGCAGGGGTGTGTATCCGGGAAGAAACCTGATAGTGTGGACTCATAAACCAGCCTTGGGAATTCATGCCACCAAAAAGCCCTCCTTGCTTCGAGGAATTTGACTCGGGCAGGCTGCATCAAATGGAGACTTGGGCATGTGAGGGCAGGCAGGGCTAATTCTTACCACATTCCATACTCCTTTATTGGCTGAGGGCATCCAAACCATGAGCGGGGCCAGCCCTCCTTTCACTGTGTTTTTCAATGTGTTTGTTTTGCATGTCATAATTAAGATTTTTAAATAGTTAGCTCCCATGAGCACCATCATTTGGCAGAAAGATGAGCTATAAAATAATAATTATGAAGTAATAAAATTGTCTGCACTGTATCAGGTCGTTGCTTTGGGGCATTGTGAAAGAGCAGAAAATGGTTAGTTATGTAAAAGACAGTCCTTAACCTATTGATAGAAAAAAGCCCTTCTACTGGAGAATTGTAGGACTTTTTCTGTTTAAACATACATAGGACTACATGCAGAATGTATTAACATTGTATTTCTAATCCTAACCTTAATCCATGGCTGAGGGAAACAGGATAATCTAAGCTGAGTTTATCAAGCCAGAAGTACTGGACTAGAGTTCAAGGAGTTCTAGTCCGCCTAGCTAAGAAGCTCACTGGGTGACTTCGGGCCAGTCGCAGACTCTCAGCCCAACCTACCTCACAGGGTTGTTGTGAGGATAAAATGTTGAACAGGAGAATTGCACAAGCCACCTTGATTTCCTTGAAAGGAAAAGGGGCAGGATATAACACCTATAGTGGGGAGCTATAAACTTTTTGTCAGAGAAAACTGAAATGTGCAGCAAGCACAGACAGTCTAACTACCTTAACAGTTACTTTCTCAGAAGTTGTTGGGTGAGAAACCTAATAAGGGCACAATCCTGTGCATGTTTACACAGGAAGAAAAATCCTACAATTCTCAGTGCTACTCAGCCAGTGAGAGAGAATGCAGCTTTTTGGAAATTCTTCTTAGCTGCCTTGATTCTTCTTCCACAGGGCTCATCTTCCTATATGCTTTCTAATTTTATCTTAATTACACTTTCAGTCAAGTTATCTGGAACAGAAATTAAGCTAACCAGCCTGTAGTGCCCCTGATCCTCTTTGGTTCTCTTCAAAATTGGTCTTACACTGGCCATTATCAAGTTCTCTGCTACCGAAGCTGATCTTCAGGACTCAATAGACTTTTTTGTTAGATAATCAACCATTTCATATTGGCATTATGTAAGAATATTAGCATCTGGGTGGTCCTGTAGCTGTCTAGATGCTATTTAGCAGTGGTAGGATTGCTCTGTTATTACATCAGCCCCACCTGGTCAGGCCTGGCTGCTGAATTAGGTTAGTTTTGCAAGGCTGAAAGTTTACACTCAACTTGCTTTCTGTAGAATTCAGATTATTGTCCCCAAGGCAAACCAAAACAGGGCTTCCCTAAAAGCTCAATGCCTTATTGCAGCCATCCTGTAAAAGCTCATGACTACAGATATTCTGGTTCTCTCTTCTCCTGCACTCCTGAGCATTGCACCTACAAAAATATTGTGGGTAGCAAGCTGCATCAGTCCCATGAGGCTGCTGAATGGGAAGTCTTGTGTTCTATGCTGGTTTAGAAATGTGGATGGTTGCCCAGAATGGAAGCTACAGTGTGTTTTCTGTGGATGTTTTGCAGGTTGCTAAGTAAATCTGATCTATTCATGGAAGGGGGGGGGGTAAATTTGGTTGACTTGGCTCCCTCAGAGGCTGATATTCCAGCTTGCTCTCCAGAAACAAAGATTCCCCTCCTGGCTTAAGTTTTACTGCTAAAGGTGGGCAAAAGGACTAGGAGACAGAGGCAGGGTCCAGAACTAGAAACTCAGTTCAGGTATTGAAAACACATTCCTGGACTCAGGTTGTATTAGGTACTAGGTGTGTCTTGTTGTTTTTTGCCCCTGTCTGGTGTATATTGAAAACCTAATAAAAGACAATATAGATACACCTGAAGTCTGCCCCCCCCCCCCCCACACGCGCGCGCGCGCACACACACACACACACACCTGGATCCAGGGAAAATACTAGCCCAGGTATGGGGAACATGTGGCCCTCCAGATGTTGCCAAATTGCGATCCCCATCAGCCCTAGCAAATACAGAGGGCTGATGCTAATTACAGCCCAAACATTTTTAATGTTTTTTAATCAATGTGGTTTTTAAACTTGCTTCTAACATTTTATGCTGTTTGCTATTCTTGATTTTAAATTCTTGTGAACCACCTTGGTTGGTACAGAAAGACAGAATATAAATGTAATAATGAAACCTCCAAAGGGCTGTAAAGTTTGCACGAAGACTAAAGGTGCTAGGGTGGCCAGCTGTCCTTTTTTTTTTTTTTAAGGGGGCAGACTTTTTTTTTTGAAGGACAATCCAGTTCAAGTCCTATTAAAGATAAAGAACCATTGGAAGGAATGACCTAGGCCTGAACATGCCCATTGGTGGCACATCTGACTGATCCCAGTTTCCCTGTTACAGTGAGATGTACTGTGCTTCTCTAGGGAGTTATAATCTCTCTATGCACATTGATTTGTATGCAAGGTTTGGGTTTTTTTATGCATGCCCTCTTTTTAAATGTTTCTTAAGTGGTGCCGCTAATTCCCAGGAAGCTGTCCCCCCCACGCCCGCTCCTGCTTTTCCAGACCCTGCTCCAGAACGAACAGCCCTTTCCTCTGTTCTCTGCTACCCCCAGACCCAATTAGCACATTCCTTGGGGGGGGGGACGGGGGAGCGAGAAAGGGGGCGCTTAATGAGGCCTCTTTCTCGTCCAAACGGGAGGGGAGGGGAGGGGAGGGCCAATGGTTGTCCCCGCGGGTTCCCAGGTTCCTCTGCCAGGGAAACCGGGCGCCCTCCCGCCCGAGGATCGCGCGCAGACCCAGCAGGCGAGGCGGCCCGCGCAGCCCGCGGCTCGCAGCCACCGCGCACGCCCTTGGCCCCCGGCGAGCTGCCGGTGCGCGCGTCCCACCGGCGCGGGTTTGGCGGGCAGGCGGGCGGGCGGGCTCCCCTCAGGCCAACGCGGCCCCTGGTGGAGGCGGCGCCCCGTTGAGTTCCTCTCCCGGGAAAGCGCAGCTGTTCCTCTGGCGGCTTCCCTGCGCTCTCCCAGTCAGTCACTGGCTTGTTGTTGCTAGTCGCGAAGTCGGGTCCGACCCATCGCGACCCCATGGACAACATTCCTCCAGGCCTTCCTGCCCTCCACCATCCCCTGGAGTCCACCCAAGCTCTCACAGATTGCTTCAGGGACTCCATCCAGCCACCTCATTTTCTGCGGTCCCCTTCTTCTTTTGCCCTCAATCGTTCCCAGCATTAGGCTCTTCTCCAGGGAGTCCTTCCTTCTCATTAGGAGGCCAAAGTATTTGAGTTTCATCGTCAGTATCTGTCCTTCTGAAGAGCAGTCAGGGTTGATCTCCTGTAGGACTGACCGGTTTGATCGCCTTGCGGTCCAAGGGACTCACAGGAGTCTCCTCCAGCACCACAGTTCAAAGACCTCAGTCCTTCGGCACTCAGCCTTCCTTATGGTCCAGCTTTCACAGCCGTACATTGCAACTGGGAAAACCATAGCCTTGACTATACGCACTTTTGTTGGCAGGGTGATGTCTCTGCTTTTTAGTATGCTGTCTAAATTTGCCATAGCTTTCCTCCCAAGGAGCAAGCGTCTTTTCATTTCTTGGCTGCAGTCCCCGTCTGCGGTGATCTTGGAGCCCAGGAGAATAAGCTGCTGGAGGCTGATACTTTCAGAGAGGAAATCTGGTGTTCCCATCAGCTGCAGACAGCTGAGACAAAGGTGTCCATGGGTTTCCGAATGGACCCATTTAATCATCTATTTCCACAGAGGCAGTGTAGTTGTCAAAGCGGTTTTCCTGAATGGTTCCTCAATCAGACACATTTGCATGTTTAAGCACAGAGGGTGATTCAAACTGCAAGGAATCTACCGAACTGACATGCCAATAAAGTAATCAGTAATATCAAGATGCCATTGTACTAACATCTGGAAACGTAACACTTTATGTGACTAGCAGGTTATAAAAGTGTTTGTACATGGGCTGTGATTTTGTAGTTGAGTTTGCCTCTACCTGGGAGCGCACTATTGTAATTATTGCAGGACTTGGGGCACCAATTCAATAAAGCCGCAGGGGTTCAGATGTACGGGTAATTCCTCACAAATTGAAACCGGAAATTGACACCAACAACAGCAGGGGGTTGGATCTGATGGCTTTCATGGCCCCATCCAACCCTTTCCTTCCCCTTCCCTTCACAGCTGTCTTGAGTTCTTGAGAGAAACAAAGGTGGAATATAAATAAAATAAATGCAAATATATTCTATTCCTGCAGGCAGGGCAGTAAACTGCAACATTTCAAGGTGGACCTGCCTGCAAACAGATTAGTTTAGTGCAGAGCTGAGTAAACTCAGGTCCAAGGACCAAATCTGGCCCTCCAGGGATCCCGATTCTGTCCTTGGGGTCCCTCAGATGGCCAAACCCCCTTTCACAGATTCCACCCCCTTTATCCCAACCATGGATTGCCTGGTTTCCCCACAATTACACATTTTCCCCATTCTAAAAAGCGGAAATGTCCCTTCTAAGTCTCAATTAACAAGAGGAAGAAGTTTAAGCTAACAAAAATTGGCATTATTTTGATGTTTGGGCCTGACTTTGTCCCTGCCCCCTCAATGGAACAGAGCCATGGAGAGAACTCCTATGAAGCAGAATTTGGCCTTCAGGCTGAAAGAGGGGCCCAGGCCTTTGGTTCATGAGACCTTAGAGCTGGGAAACAGGGGCGAAGGGCTGGCAGGACCTTCTCTTTGAGAATGGCCAGGGTTTTACACAACCCTACAATGGCTCATGTGCTCCAGGTGTTCTGTGTTCCCTCCACGCAGAGCAGCTTTTCAGATATTTATAATAACAATAACAATAATAGAAGCCTGCAACTTTTCCTTTTAAATGTTCTTCAAGCTAAACAGTCAGCTGCTCGCATGTAGAAAACCAGCATTTGTAGGAACCCAAACTGGAATCCTTCTCTCCAACATACTAATTTTGCAGGTTCAGGGACTAAAAAAATATTTAAAAAATCAACAGGTTTTTTTGCATAATTCGCTAAGAGGGTATGTCAAAAACTCCAGGAGTAACGGAAACATCCACAACTCATCATTTAATAAGCACATCACAAAGCTTATATGAGAAATAGCTATATTAAAAACATGACATGTTTTGAAATTCCTCACTCTACAGCGTAAGGGGACAAAAATGAGTGCCTGCATTACATTTATTTTGCAGGTGCATAAATGTTTCTGCTGAGCAATGCACAAGGCCTTGAATGTCAGAGCACGTTTTGGAGATACCATCCATCCATACACATTTCAGGTCACACTGGTGCTGATCTCAAATTTCCAGGTGCCTTGTTCACAGGGTGCCCATTCCTTTCTCTTTAGTGCATCCTGAAAAGGTGGCAATGTCTCCCCAATGTGCGAACAGGTAGCATATCAAAAGCTATCAACATTCAGGTCTGTTCAAGGTATCTCAAAAGGTCCCACTTAAGGGACACTTCCAAAACAATGACCAGTAACTTCACCATCTGCCTGAGAAAATTTGCTACATATTAGTCCATGTTGCTGTTTCCAGAGAAGTGCACTAGGGGTTCAACTCCAGCAGAAACTGCTCCCCTCAGGCCTTGTGGAGCCCCCAAGCTGGTCACTCTGTTCTCTGAAGAATGACTGCATGCTCAAGAAGACTCTGGGAAACCTTCTAGAGTCTCCATTTCTTACGCCTTCTCTCCATGACTTTGCGGTTTCTCCAAACATCCTTTTCTGCTCCTTCCTTACACGGGTGCAAATGACAGGTCACATTAAGGGATGTGAGGCCCAAATCAGAAATGTATCTCGTGCGTAAAGCAGACAGTGGGCACAGGGCTTACTGCTGGTGATCCAACTTTCAGAGCAGCAAAGGCAAGAGGATGTAATCATGCCTTCTGGATTGTCCGTCTGGAAGGTACCCGTCTCCCCCAGTCTGGTAACTTCCACATACTTTGGACTTCCAGCCTTCCAGACCATTGGTCTTGCTGGCTGGGGCTGAACTCCAAAGGATTCAGAAGATGGCAGGCTGGGGAAGCCCACTGTCCTCCTGTGGTTTGCCTCACTGCAAATTTGTTTCCCCAGGTGCTTTTCTCTAAGCTGGTATCAGAATTTGGCAGATGAAGAAAGTAATCAGAGTACAAGAGCAGCAGAGGGGAGGGCTGCAGGTGGTGGGGAGGATTTAGAATGGAGATCTGAGAAGGACAGGCCCCAGGCCTGGTCTGGCAGCCCCAGGACTTCCAGCAGCCATCACTGCCAAGTACAAAAGGCAAACCATCTAGGAGCAAGCTGCATGGTTTCTGCCACGAAGGACTTGTTCCTAGAGTGTCCCTGCCCCAGCATCCTAAGAAGAGTGTGAAGGCTCCTCCCAGCTTGCTAGGCTGCTCTAGGCACAAAGCTTCTATGGCCATCTGAGTAGGATGGTGTAACGTGGTGTCCTGCAACAACAGTGGCTTGAACCCGATGGCCTTCATGGCCCCTTCCAACTCGACTATTCTATGAACCAAGGAACAGGATCCATGAAGGGTGCTGGGGAGCAACCAGGGCCAACTACCTTGAGGCTGTGACATGGAACAGAAAGCCAGGAGTGGCTGCTGCTGGGTTCGAGTGCTGACTGTGGGAAAATGTGGCCCCCTGAGCTGAGCAGCTGGGGAATCCTGGTGCAGAAAGTCTGGCCTGCATGCCCCTTAGGCTCTTAAACCCCTTTCTGCCTGTGACGTCCCTTCCCGCAGCCTGCACTTCCAGTTTCTTTTCCCATTTTCTAGTAAGGGAAAAGGGATACCAGGAAGGTTACCTGGGGAGGAACTGTGAAGCCACCTACCCGTGTTCCCCCTGGCTCTTGCACTGGGACCCCCAAACCACACTTTACATATCAGCCTTCCCCAGTGTGGTGCTGCACAGATGCGCTGGACTCAGACTCCCCTAACTCCCGTAATTCAGTGTGGCTCATGGAAATCAGTACATGAAGTGGGGCAGACCCTTTGAAAGAGCTGGGCCTGTCAGCACCACTCCATCATTCTTCTCCAATATAACTGCTGTCCTGGGTGGGTGGATACTTTCTAGTTCTGTAAGCATCGGACCATGCACAAAGCTCTCATAGAAACACAGAGAAACATAGAAACACAAGTCAGAAGGGGACTCTTGGCCATCTAGTCTGACCCCCGGCTCCCTCTGTGGACCTTTTTATGTTTTGTCCGGTCCGAGCTAGAAATGAATCGCTTCCCGCACTCAAAGCAGGCGTACGGCTTCTCCCCCGTGTGGGTCCTCTGGTGCGTGATGAGGGACGACTTCCGATTGAAGCACTTGCCACAGTCCAAGCACTTGTGTGGCTTCTCCCCAGTGTGGATGGTGCTGTGGTTGAGGAGGTTGAAGCTTTTGTTGAAGCTCTTCCCACACTGCAAGCACTGGTACAGGTTCTCTCCCGTGTGGGTCCGCTGATGCGTGATGAGGGCTGCTTTTGCATGGAAACTCTTCCCGCATTCAGGGCATGTATAGGGCTTCTCTCCCGTGTGGGTCCTCTCATGGATGATGAGATGCGTTCTCTGGCTTAAACCATGGCCACAATAGGAACACTTGTACGGCCGCTCGCCTGTGTGTACCCTCTTGTGCATCATCAGGTTTGTCCGGGTGCCAAACCCTTTCCCACACTCAGAACATTCATAGGGTTTCTCCCCTGTGTGGATTCTCTTGTGTGCGATGAGAGTAGCCATCTGGTTGAATCTCCAGCCACAGTCTGAGCAGTGGTACGGCTTCTCGCCAGTGTGTACTCTGTTGTGTCGCAGGAGCTCAGAGCTGTTGCCAAAGCTCTTCCCGCACTCGAAGCATTCATATGGCCTTTCGCCCATGTGTCTCCCCTTGTGCTTCAGGAGGGAAGCTTTTGTGCCAAAGCTTTTCCCACAGTCCGAGCACGGATAGGGTTTTTCTCCAGCCAAAGTCCCTTTGCGCAGAGTGAGGGATGCTCCATTTTTGAAGGTCTTCCCACAACGGGGGCATATGTAAAACTCTTCTTCTGCCTGTGTTTTCTGACTCGTGGGAAGTTCAAAGACCTCATAGAGATTTCCACACTCTGTGCATGCCCTTTTGATCTTGCACTCTTTGTTTGCCATACTTCCAGCACCTTCCTCATGAAGCAAAGCCCCTTCTGTCTCCTGTCCTGAATACTTTTCCCGAAAACCTTCAGCTTCTGGCTGATTCCCAGGTATCATCTCTTCCTCATCATGAATGGCTAAGAGATTTCCTTTGGCTTTTTCCAGCATGGTGTCATTGTGTTCCACTGTCTCAGGTTTGTTCAGGTGAAGGTTTCCTTCTTCTGACATTTGATTACATCCTGGCGAAGAAAAATGGAGGCTCATGAGTCAAAACAGCCAAATATTTTATTTATTTATTTATTAAAACATTTTTATGCCACCCCATTCGCCGAAGCCTCGGGGCGGCTCACATCATCCAGTTAAAATAATTATAATATAAATTAAAAATATAAATATTAAATTAAAATACAACAATACAGTATAAAATAAGCCGCCCTGGCCAAATAAAACCAATAATGTTAACAGTTAAAATGCCGCTTGAATAAAAAGGTCTTTGCCTGGCACCGAAAAACAAATAACAACGGCGCCAGGCGGACCTCTCTGGGGAGCGCGTTCCATAACTTAGGCGCCACCGCAGAGAAAGCCCTCCATATAGAACTAATATGTTAGTTCAGTTGTATTATAATTTGTTATCCAAGTTTGAGCTTTGCACACAGATGTCACAAATTGGTAAGGGAGGTATTCAAAGCAGGCCCTGCATTTTCCTTCACAAGAAAGTTTCCTGCAAGAAACTCCCCCAGGAAACTTGGCTATATTGCTGGTCCTCTGAATGGAGGCAACCAAGGACGGGCTCATCCCCACAACTTCCATCTGCCAGAATGAGGTTAACACAGGGGAGTGGAACATGCAACAAAATGGTGGAGTCCAAAGCGCTCCTTTCCACACCCTTTCCTTGATGGTTTTCCATTTCTTCTGTCAATAGTCATCTCTCTGCGGGACTGAGCATGCTCGGTCTTCATGGGTCTTTTTAGAAATGGCAGGGCTGAAGAGATTGGCCCCTTTCGGATTCCCACCCCACTGGTAAGATAACTTGTTCTTCTGCAAGCTTGAGTTTCCCCCTGCCTGCTCTTACTACCTACCTCTGGTATTGTCCCGGAGACATAAGAGCAGACACATAGAAAGTGGAGCTAACTCTTAAGAGCTATTTATATAAACCAGAATGTCTCTACAGCTACAGCATATACCTCAGACCCTAACATGGCCTGGCCCAAGCTGGTGACTTTCCAGATATTCCAGCTTTAAACTCCTATCAGCCCCAGTCAGTATGGCTGAACAGCCAGGACATCCGGAAGCTCCAGCCCCAGAGTTAGAGGATTCCAGCTCAGAGAACTCATGCTTGGCAAAACGGCCCCTCTCTCACCCCCTTTCTTGGCACTGCTGGCAAACTGCAGATTCACCGTATTGTCTGACGGATCCCGCTCGGAGGAGGAGGAGGAAGGTGCTGCCAGGTCCTCCAAAGGCGCCTGCATCTGGAACAGAAATGGGCAAACACTTCCTTAGACACCAAGAGACCCAGCGGGGAGAGACACAACACCTGGAATCACTGGATGACTTTAGGCTAGTCCTGGATTCCCCACCATGAAGCAGAAGCAGCAGCAGGAGCGGAGGGGGCAGGAAGTGGAATTCGGCGGCGGCTTGAAAGAGATTCCTTCTCCCTGCCCGTCTAGGAATCAGACCTCGGCCACTTTAACCCCTTGACTCCCTGATGGAAAGCCCCTGAGAGGCAGCAGAGGGGCGAAGAGACGCTGCATGGAGTGAACGAGCATGGGGGGCAACTGCGCTTGCGGAAAGGGGAGGCTCTGGGAGGGAGTAACCCCTGGCAGCCTTCCCTTAACGGGGTCTTTCCAGTTGGGACTCCAACTTCCATCTGCCCCAGCCAGCATGGTCAGCAGTCAAAGAGAACGGTGCTGGAGGTCAAAACATCTGGTGGGATCATTACAAAATCCACGTTCGGACAATCGCAGTTAATGTTTGTACCAATTTTGCTGTTGGTAGTCATGAAGTAGTGTCCGACCCATCGCGACCCCATGGACAACACTCCTCCAGGCCTTCCTGTCCTCCACCATCCCCCAGAGTCCACCTAAGCTCTCACAGATTGCTTCAGTGACCCCCAACTAGCCACCTCATCCTCCGCTGTCCTATTCTTCCTTTGCCATCAATTGTTCCCTGCATCAGGGTCTCCTCCAGTGAGTCCTTCCTTCTCATTAGGTGGCCAAAGTATTTGAGTTTCATCTTCACTATCTGGCCTTCTAAAGAGCAGTCAGGGTTGATCTCCTCTAGGACTGACCGGTTTGATCGCCTTGTGGTCCAAGGGACTCGCAGGAGTCTCCTTCAGCCCCACAATTCAAAGACCTCAGTCCTTAGTGCTCAGTCTTCCTTATGGTCCAGCGTTCACAGCCATACCTTGCAACTGGGAAAACCATGGCCTTGACTATACGCACTTTTGTCGGCAGGGTGATGTCTCTGCTTTTTAGTATGCTGTCTAGATTTGCCATAACTTTCCTCCCCAGGAGCAAGCGTCTTTTAATTTCTTGGCTGCAGTCCCTGTCTGTGGTGATCTTGGAGCCCAGGAAAATCTGTCACTACCTCCATTTCTTCCCCATCAATTTGCCAGGAAGTGAGAGGACCGGATGCCATGATCTTAGTTTTCTTAATGTTGAGTTTCAAGCCAACTTTTGCACTCTCCTCTTTCACCTGAATCAAGAGGCTCTTAATTTCTCTTCACTTTCTGCCATTAAAGTGATATCATCTGGGATTGTTGATATTTCTCCCAGGAATCTTAATTCCAACTGGTGATTCAGCTAGCCCCACCTTTTTCATGATGTGCTCTGCATATAAGTTAAATAGGCAGGGCTACAGTATACAGCCTTGCCGAACTCCTTTCTCAATTTTGAACCAATCAGTGGTTCCGTGCCCAGTTCTCACTGTTGCTTCTTGACCCGCATATAGGTTTCTCAAGAGACAAATAAGATGGTCTGGTACTCCCGTCTCTTTAAGAACTTGCCACAATGGGTTGTGATCCACACAATCAAAGTCTTTAGCATAGTCAGTGAAGCAGAAGTAGATGTTTTTCTGGAACTCCCTAGCTTTCTCCATGATCCAGCGTATGTTGGCAATTTGATCTCTAGTTCCTCTGCCTCTTTGAAACCCTGCCTGAACTTCTGGTTGTTCTCGGTCCACATAGTGTGAAGCCTATGAAACTGTAGTATTTTGAGCCTAACTTTGCTTGCATGTGAAATGAGTGCAATGGTGCAGTACCAGTTACATCCTGCCTTTCCCTGCAAGACACCCCAGGCAGCTAATATGGCCCTCCTGCTCTCCAGTGTATTGTCACAACAACCCTGTGAGATTGGCTAGCCCTAGAATTGGCGACTGGCGCAAAGCCTCAGTTAGTTTTGTGGCCAAGTTGAGATGCAAATACGGCTCTCCAGAGACCCGGTCCAACGCTCTAACCACTATGTCGCCCTGGGTGGGAAACCATTTCACACCATCCCACGCAGATGGGTGTCCAGTGTCTTTTTGAATGTCTCTAGTGCGGGAGGACCCACCACCTCTCCAGGCAGGTCTCTACGCAATGCTGCCTTTGGATGTATAGCCAGAAGCGTGGTTTCCAGATATTGATACCACTCCACACAACTCTGGTGCACCCATAACTGGAGCACTGTGTTCAGTTGTGAGTTCCACCTTACAGGAGAGAGATAGCCATGTGAGACTCAGTTCAGTGCAGGGTCACCAGGATGGTAGCCTAGTTGGAAGGGATGACCGATGAGGAGAGATTGGGGGAATGGGGTCTTTTCAGCCTGGAGAAGGGAGGCTCTGAGGGGATCTTTTATCGACTTATAGTGAGGAGGAGTGTGATCTGTTCTTCCCAGCAGTGGAGGGCCGGACATGTTCCAATGGCTGCTCAAAGGAGCAGGCTTCAGGCTGGAGGTCAGGAAGTTCTTCCTGACATTAGGACTCCTAGGATGTGGAACGGACTTCCACAGGAGATGGTAAAGTAAGTAAGGCTGTTCAAGGAAAGATCGGGCAACCACATGATGGAGGTTACATGAGCAGAGCTGGCTGGAGTTGGCGATCAGTCTACATGGCCCGGGAGGCCCCTTCTGACTCAATTTGTTTCTACCTCCTTCCTGCTGCCGCTTTTCCAGACCCTGCTCCAGAACGAACAGCCCTTTCCTCTGTTCTCTGCTACCCCCAGACCCAATTAGCACATTCCTTGGGGGGGGCGGGGGAGGGAGAAAGGGGGCGCTTAATGAGGCCTCTTTCTCGTCCAGACGGGAGGGGAGGGGAGGGGAGGGCCAATGGTTGTCCCCGCGGGTTCCCAGGTTCCTCCGCCAGGGAAACCGGGCGCCCTCCCGCCCGAGGATCGCGCGCAGACCCAGCAGGCGAGGCGGCCCGCGCAGCCCGCGGCTCGCAGCCACCGCGCACGCCCTTGGCCCCCGGCGAGCTGCCGGTGCGCGCGTCCCACCGGCGCGGGTTTGGCGGGCGGGCGGGCGGGCGGGCTCCCCCCAGGCCAACGCGGCCCCTGGTGGAGGCGGCGCCCCGTTGAGTTCCTCTCCCGGGAAAGCGCAGCTGTTCCTCCGGCGGCTTCCCTGCGCTCTCCGAGTCAGTCACTGGCTTCTAAAACTAATCCCCAAAAGATCGCTTTGACTGGCCCAAATTTTACTGCAGCATGCTTACTCGGAGACAACCCCTGTTTTCATTTATTGGTGGGCGTGTTTATCCGTATGTACAAAGATATTTCTGAGAGAGCTCCTGTGAAGCGGGATTTGGCCTTCAGGCTGAAAGGAGCCCCCAGTCCTTGGTTCACGAGATCTGAGCGCTGGGAAACACGTGGAAAAGACTTGCCAGACAGTCTCCCCGAGAATGGTTTACAGAGCCCTACAGTGGCCCGTATGTTCTGGGTGTTCTGTGTTCCCTCCATGCACAGCAGCCATTCAGTATTTGAAGACTGCAACTCCATCACCTCTTAAATGTTCTTCAAGCTAAACAGTTGCTTGCATGTAGAAAACCAGCATGTAAACGAACCCAAACTGGAATCCTTCTCCCCAACATACTAATTTTCCAGGTGCAGGGACTAAAAACAAATCAACAGCTCTTTATTTGCATAATTTGCTAAGAGGATACAGCAAAAACTCCAGAAGTGACGGAAACATCCACAACTCATCATTTAATAAGCACGTCACAAAACTTAAGTTGCATTCACAAGACATGATATTGGGCAAGCTATAAAAATGAGCAGTGTGGAAAGGTGGAAACAACAGAATTATGCCTTAAAAGAAAAAGGGGCACCAACATTAATTATATTTCAATTGTGCAAAGAGCCATCAAGCAGGGACACCCAGACTAGCAAATGGCCAACAGTACACCCCAAAACCGCTAATGCAGACAGTATGTGGGACTGTTATGTGTTGAAATATGCAGCTTCATAATGGGGAAACCAAAATCTTAATTTATAATCTAGAACTAATCCATATACAAGACCCTTCCACCTAATCCCAATTTCCTAGCTCAGGGCAGGCTGCCTTGGTCAAAACGAAATATATATATGAACCATATATATATATATATAGATATATGAAATAGCTATATTAAAAACATGATGTTTTGAAATTCCTCACTCTACAGCGGAAGGGGACAAAAATGAGTGCCTGCATTAAATTAATAAATTTGCAGGTGCCTGGTCACATGGGGCCTATTCCCTTCCCTACTTTTAGCTCATCCTGAAAAGGTGGAAATATCACCCCATGTGTGAACAGGTAGCCTACCAAAAATTATCAACATTCAGCCTGTTCAAGGTATTTTGAATCAAGGTTCCACTTCAGGGACACTTCGAAAACAATAATAATCAGCAATGCCTGACACGTTTCTGCCCAGAGAAAGTATGTGAAATTCCAGTCCATGTTGTTGTTTCCAGAGAAGTGCAGTAGGAGTTCAACTCCAGCAGAAACTGCTCCCCTCAAGTCCTGAGTAGCCTCCATGTTGGTCACCCTGTTCTCTGAAGAATCACTGCATGCTCAAGAGGACTGGGAAACATTCTAGAGTGCTGGCCTCCATTTCTTACACCTTTGTTTCTCCAAACATCCTTTATGCCCCTTCCTTGCATGGATGCAAATGAAGACAGGTCATTAGGGAACGTTTAAAAACCTGCAAGGCCCAAATCAGAAATGCATCTTGCACAGAAAGCAGGCACAGTGGGAACAGTGCTTCCTGCTGGTGATCCAACTTTCAGAGCAGCAAAAGCAAGAGGATGTAATCATGCCTTCCACATTGTCTGTCTGGAAGGTACCTGTCTCTCCCAATCTGGTATCTTGGACATGCTTTGGACTACGACTTCTAGCCTTCCAGACCGTTGGCCATGCTGGCTGGGGCTAAACTCCAAAAGATCCAGAAGATGGCAAGCTGGGGAAGGTCTTTGACCTCCCACAGTTTACCTCACTATAGTATGTTTCCCCAGGTCTTTTTGGAGAGCAGCAGAAGGGAGGGCTGCAGGTGGTGGGGAGGGTTTAGAGCAGGGGTCTGAGAAGGGCAGGTCCCAGGCCTGGTCTGGCAGCCCCAAGATTTCCAGCATCTGTCAGTGCCAGCAACAAAAAGCAAGCAATTTAGGAGCAAGTGCTATGGTTTCTACCATAGAAGACCTATTCCTAGAGTGTCCCTGCACCAGCATCCTAAGAAGAGTGTGAGGGTTCCTCCCAGCCTGCCAGGATGCTCTAGGCACAAAGCTTCTATGGCATGAACCGCAGAACCTGTTCCATAAAGGGGTTGTTGCTGGTGGGTCTGAATGCCGAGTGTGGGGAAGGGGGAGCGCGTGCAGCAGCTGCCCCCTCAGCAGCCACTCAGCGTGGCCCTCTGAGCTATGACGCTCGGGAATCCTGGTGCAGCAAGTCTGACTCACACGCCCCTTAGGCTCTTAAACCTCTTCCTGCCCTTGACTTCCCTTCCCACAGCCTGTGCTCCCAGCTTTTCTCATTTTCTAGTACAGAAACGCAAGCAGGGAAAAAGGGACTTTGGGGGCAGACAGTGGGAAGGTTACTCATGGCCAAGGGAGAAACTGTGAAGCCTCCTGCATCGGAACCCCCCAGCCCACACTCAGCCTCCCCCAGTCTGGCACCAGACATGCTGGACTCAGACTCCCATAACTCCCAGTTTGTATGGCTCATGGGAATTGCAATCCAACACATCTGGAGGGCACAAGTCTGGGGAGGGCTGACATATGAAATGGGGCAGACCCCTTGAAAGAACTGGGCCTGCCAGCACGACACCATTATTGGGCTCTAGCATGGCTGCCCTCCTGGCTGGAGGCTCTCTGGTTCTGCAAGTGCTGGGCCATGTACAAAGCTCTCGCCATAGCCTGAGCGTTTCCCTCTGTGGACCTTTTTATGTTTTGTCCGGTCTGAGCTAGAAATGAAGCGCTTCCCGCACTCAAAGCAGGCGTACGGCTTCTCTCCCGTGTGGGTCCTCTGGTGCGTGATGAGGGACGACTTCCGATTGAAGCACTTGCCACAGTCCAAGCACTTGTGTGGCTTCTCCCCAGTGTGGATGATGTTGTGGTTGAGGAGGTTGGAGCTTGTGCTGAAGCTCTTCCCACACTGGAAGCACTGGTACAGGTTCTCTCCCGTGTGGGTCCGCTGATGCGTGATGAGGGGCGCTTTCGCGTTGAAACTCTTCCCGCATTCAGGGCACGTATAGGGCTTCTCTCCCGTGTGGGTCCTCTCATGGATGATGAGGTGCGTTCTCTGGCTGAAACTCTGGCCGCAGTAGGAGCATTTGTACGGCCGCTCGCCCGTGTGTACCCTCTTGTGCATCATCAGGTTTGTCCGGGTACCAAACCCTTTCCCACACTCAGAACATTCATAGGGTTTCTCCCCTGTGTGGATTCTCTTGTGTGCGATGAGAGAAGCGATCTGGTTGAATCTCCTGCCGCACTCTGAGCAGTGGTACGGCTTCTCGCCAGTGTGCACCCTCTTGTGTCGCAGGAGCTGGGAGCTGTTGCCAAAGCTCTTCCCGCACTCGGAGCATTCGTACGGCCTCTCGCCCGTGTGTGTTCTCTCGTGTGTGATCAGAGACGACTTCCAGTGAAAGCTTTTCCCACAGTCCGAGCACTTGTGTGGCTTTTCTCCCGTGTGCACGATGTTGTGGTAGATCAGGTTGGAGCTGGTGGTGAAGCACTTCCCACACTCAGAGCACACGTAGGGCTTCTCTCCTGTGTGGGTCCCTTTGTGCTTCAGGAGGGAAGCTTTTGTGCCAAAGCTTTTCCCACAGTCCGAGCACGGATAGGGTTTTTCTCCAGCCAAAGTCCCTTTGCGCAGAGTGAGGGATGCCCCGTTTTTGAAGGTCTTCCCACAACGGGGGCATATGTAAAACTCTTCTTCTGCCTGTGTTTTCTGACTCGTGGGAAGTTCGAAGACCTCACAGAGGTTTCCACACTCTGTGCATGCCCTTTTGGTCTTGCACTCTTTGTTTGCCACACTTCCAGCACCTTCCTCATGAAGCAAAGCCCCTTCTGTCTCCTGTCCTGAATGCTTTTCCTGAAGAATTTCGGCTTCTGGCTGATTCCTAGGTATCATCTCTTCCTCATCACGAATGGCGAAGAGATTTCCTTTGGCTTTTCCCAGCATGGTCTCATTGTGTTCCACTGTCTCAGGTTTGTTCAGGTGAAGGTTTCCTTCTTCTGTCATTTGATTACATCCTGGCAAAGAAGAATGGAGGCTCATGAGTCAAAGCAACCCAATAAGGTTGTTCAGCAATCTGATTGTTATTTTAAGACCCCAGTATTTAAAGGTTTTCATTAATTTATTTAAAACTTTTATAATGTGTGTTTTAATTAAGATTATTTTATATGGATATTTTAACTTATTGTTTTATCTATGTTGTAAGCCGCCCCGAGGCTTCGGCGAATGGGGCGGCATAAAAATGTTTTAATAAATAATAAATAAACTTTTGTAGACTGTCGCATTACCAAAGTCTTCGGAAGGTTTAACAATACAAAATATAAGGGGAAAAACCCACAGTGTCCTAAAATTTAGCTAATAATAAAACCCCAATTGAAACAGTCAGCTCTTAAAACATTGGTAAAATAAAAAGGTTTTGACCTGGCACTGAAAAGAATAAAGTGACAGCGCCAGACAAACCTCTCTGGGGAGCGAATTCCACAATCGGGGTGCCACCTCAGAGAAGGCCCTTCTCCAAGTAGTCACCCTCCTAATCTCCTTCAGGAAGGACACCTGGAGAAGGCCATCTGCCCCAGAACTTAAGGGGTGGATGGGCACATATGGAAGGAGACACTTCTTCAGGTAACAAGGCCCTAAGCCATTTAGGGCTTTATAGGTTATTATTGTCCTTTCAAAAAATTAAATAGCTCTATTTTTCATTACTGAATTTTAAAATCTGAAGTGTTTTTATTGTAATGTAACTTGCCCTAAAAATGGTTTTGAAAAGCAAGGTAAAAAATATTAAAGCTCCACCCTTAATCCCAGAAGGAAACTCCACAGTACTTAATTTTGGGCAGACCTATATAGGACTGCAGGGTAAAGAAACACGACAAATTAAAAACAGGAACTGCAATGAAAGGTTGGCAGTGTGGAGCATTGCAAGCAGCACTCAATCAACTCCGTTCCACTCTTGCCGCATTTATCATTAATTCCCCACCCGAAGTCAGCATTTCGTAGCTGCATTGTGCTCCCAGGGCTCTGTGCTGGTGAAGGGGCATCCTCACAGAGATGTTCCTGCGCTACCACAAACTCTGAGGTTCCACCTTCATGTTTATGCCACTCCCTTATGATTGGCTGCTACAGTTTGGGATCCATAAGCACAGCCAATGAAAGCCTTGGCATCGGAATCATACAGGTGTCCACCCTAGCAGGATCCAGGGAAGGTAGGCTGAGGCATGAGAACAGGTTGCTGAAACAACCTGGAGCGAGCTATGCTCTTATCTAGGAACCGAAGGACCTAAGAGAAGCCGTGCCGGGTCAGACCCCAGGCACATCTAGTCCAGCACCACGTGCGCCCGGAGGCAAAGCAGCTGCCGACAGGAGCCCTCCAGCAGGAGGGGGGTCTACCCAACTCCTCAGCAACTGAGGTGGGCTGGCAGGCTGCCTCTGACAAAGGAGGGAGCACGTGGCCAGCAGGGCTTGTGGCCACTGAGAACCTCCTCCCTCAGGAACCTGCCCAATCCCTTTTTAAAGCCGCCCAGATTGGGGGCCTTCACCACTTCCCATGGCCGCAAGTTCCATAGTTTATGCCGTGTGAAAAAGTACTTCCTTTTATCTGTGCTACACCTCCCCACAATCAGCTTTATGGGTTCAAATGTTATGGGAAAGGGAGAAAAACGCTTGTCTCTTCACTTTCTCCATGCCCGCATTATTTTAAACACCTCCCGCATGTCTCCCCTTCAACCTGGGGAAGATCTGAAAACAGAACTTCTTTGGTGGAGGGACCGTAACTGAGCGGCAGAGCAGGAGCCTTGCATGCAGAGTCCACAAGTTGGACCCCTGGCCAAACAGATCAGGCAGTGCTGATGGGGCTACTCCTGATGAGTCCCGGGCCCTTCAAAAAGCCATCTTGTTGGCCTGCTCTACTGCTGCATGGCACAGGATCCTTCAGGATGAGTTTGGTACAGTGGTGAGGGAGGTATTCAAAGCAGGCCCTGCATTTTCCTTCACAAGAACGTTTCCTGCAAGAAACACTCCGCCAGGAAACTTGACTCTATCACTGGCCCTCTGAAAGGAAGCAAGCTAGTGATGGGCTGAGCCCCGCAACTTCCACCTGACAGAATGACGCAAACACAAGGGAGTGGAACATGCAACGAAACAGTGGGGTCCAAAGTGCATTCCAGACTTCAGCTCCTATCAGCCCCAGTCAGTCTGGCTGAATCGCCAGGAAATCCGGAAGCTGCAGCCCCTGAGAGTTAGAGGATTCCAGCTCCGAGAGGGTTCGTGCTTGGCAAAGCAGTCCGTTTCTCACCCCCTTTCTTGGCACTGCTGGCAAACCGCAGCTTCACCGTGTTGTCTGATGGATCCTGTTCAAAGGAGGAGGAGGAGGGAGCAGGAGGAGGAGGAGGAGGAGCAGCAGCAGCTGCCAGGTCTTCCAAAGGCTCCTGCACCTGGAACAGAAACGGGCAAACACTTCTTTAGACACCGAGAGACCCAGAGCGGGAGAGATGCAACTTTAGGCTAGTCCTGGGGTCTCCAACATGAAGCCTTTGGCTCCTTGCACCTCCCAACTTTTCTCTCTTAAGATATATTAACTGGACGGTTAACATGCTGCAATCTCCAGCACCATCTTTATGTGGGTTCAGAAGAGTGACTTGCTTTTGTTTTTCAGGCCCCGCTTCTGCCTTGTAATTTAGGTTCTTGCATGTATTATCCTCTCTTTTTTTGGCTCACCAGTTTGCCTTCTGGAAAATGAGTGTTTCTGGCCATGCGCACCCATGGCAGCTACTGCAGGAAGAGGCAGCTGCTACCTGCAAGGCAACCATTTTGTGAAAGCACCCGCAACGCTGTCCCCTACTTTTTAAAGTTTGTGAGCAGGTCTGGGATGTTGACCTATATGTTGCTCTTTATACAGGACCTCTGTATCTCACGCTTTGTTGTTATGTGCCATCAAGTCCTCTCCAACCTATGGCAGCCTAATGAATGAAAGCCCCCAAGTGTCGTCTGTCACAGCCCGCTGAGCTCTTGTAAACTCCAGGCCGTGGCGTCCTTTATGGAATCAGTCCATCTCGTAGTTCGTCTTCCTCTTCTCATGCCTTCAACTTTCCCTAGCATTACACTACACAGATCAGTCCATCAGCCCAAAGAGGCCGAGGACCCCTATGAATTTGTTTTCTCCTTGATCTATGACACAGGGCTGTTCTAAGGCTAAAAAGGGAGAGCAACGCGTGACACCAAAGCCAGCTCAAGGCATTGGACCTGCCGGAGGCAAAGAACAAAATGGCCGACCAGACTGTCAGGAGACAGAACTGCATCTTCCATGGCATTTATGCCAAGCCAAGCGGAGGAGGAGGAGGAGGAAGGGGTTTTTCCTGCCCATGCTGGAATCTGCCTGATACCGAGGCAGATGGGTGCTTCAACTAGCTCTCCAGAGCACAGGTGTGACTGAATTGGGACTCTCCCATCAGCCTTCTGCCAACCTGGGCCCCTCCAGAAGTTGTGCATCTTAACACCTGCCACTTCCAGCCTGCATGGCAAAGTTCTCAGGTATTATGGAAACTGTTGTCCCAAATGTCTGAGGGGATGGCAGATGAGAGAAGGCTGTTCTAGGCTTTTGGTTCATTCCAGGATGGCCCAGTGGCCAACCCGTCTGCTCTGATCGGCAGCTGCACTGCAGGCCTCCCTCCCTCCCTGCTCCCCAAGGCCCTGAACTGGTCAGGCCCCAGGAACTGAGCCTGGGACCCCAAATATGGGGTCCCTGCCACTCTTCCCCGACCCCGTCCCCCAGTTCTTATCAGGGAGGCTCAACGTGGGCTCTGACACAGACGTTCCACGCCAGCCTGCCACGGTCCCTTTCTCTGGCTCTCTGAGGAAGGCTCAGCTGGCATCCCACGGCCTCAGGCTGCCTCATCCGGAAGTCCTCTGCCAGGGCTACTGCCTCAGCCCAGCTCTCCGGGCCCCGTTCCCGGACCCAGCTCTGCATGGGCGGAGGGAGGATGGTCAGGAACTGCTCCAGGGTCACCAGCTCCAGCATCTGCTCCTTGGTGCATCTCTCTGGCCTCAGCCAATGGCAGCAAAGCGCCCAGAGCTGGTTGAAGGCTTCTCGTGGCCCGGCAGCCTCCTGGTAGCAGAACTGCCGGAAGCCCTGCCGCCGCCGCTCCGAATCGCGGGCAGTGTCCTCCGGAGCCTCTTCCTTCACCTCCACAGAGGAGCCCAGGCTTTGGTAGGCCTCGTGGGCCTTGCCACAGGGCCCCGTTGCCGTCTGGGTCGCGTACTCTCTTCTAGGCTGGCGGCACGTGGCTTCTGTGGCTGCTCTCCCGGAGGCTGGGAATGCTTTCGAGCTGAGCCCTGACTGGGCTGGTACGTCTTCCCATCTGCACCGAGCGGACCGTGGCGTGTTGAGGAATTCCGACCACTGGGAGTCCCAGCCCCGTCGCGGCCCCTCCTCCAGCTCTTGCTTAACATACTGCGGAGTTGCCTTAGCCACAAACTTTGTGAGCGCCTCCACTTGGGCAGCGTCATGGTTTCTCCCTACCTCCTCCACCTCCTCCAAGCTCTCCCCCAGTTCTTCGGGTCCTGCCACGTCTTGCTCCTCCATTTTAAAAATAATTCTGGACTGTCAAGCCCTGGAAGAAGAAATGCAGTGTTAGTAAACGTGATGCAATGGTCCCAAGCAGTAATGGCAGAGGTGAAGATTTTTTTTTAATCTGTTGCGGGTTGCCTGCTGATGGTGGGCAAACTCAGCAGTAAGAGAGGTGCGAAACAAATGTGGCTGCAGCCATTCCTTTTCTTTCTCTTTATATCTCTCCCCCCCTTCCCTTTCATCCCACCATCAGGCTACCAGGGAAGGACAGATCACTTATTAGAGGTCTGAACTGCTGGCTTTTGAAATTAGGTTGCCCAGTTCTATATTGTAGTGTAATGATTTAGTATCTTCGAGGAGGAATTGTGATGATCATAAAGATATACTGATCTAGTTCTTCTCACAAGCTTCACAAGACCAAGGTACAGTAACAGCTTCTATCTGGACTATATTACTTCAAACTACAGCTGAAGACCTACATCAGGGTAAGCTTATGTACATCCTAATAGATAAACAAATCCTTGCTCATAGAAAACTAGCATATCAGGATAATAACTTCTGCCTTGCCATTTCCCCGATAAGCTATTTTTCTATCTACAGAGAAGATTTTGAAGCATATGGAGAAGGATTTAAACACATGAATTCTCAGGTATAATTTGAAGCTTTCAAGATAGTACATATGTGATTACCCCGCTGCGTGAAGGTTGCAGCTACCTTGCAAAGGTTCATTCGGCTGTGGGAAAGATATCTACTGCAGTGCAGAACTAGCACAAAACTCTGTTAAGAGGGGAGGAATTGCCTCCTACTTAATCTTTAGGAAAAGGCCATGAGCAAGTGGCAGAGCACCTGATATGCACTCAATAATTCCCAAATTCATTCCCCAATGCCGTAAGACTCACAGCCTGTCAACATAGGCCAGCCTTCCACATCATGATGCTGGGCACTTCTGTTGGGTTATATTTCTCATTATCCCCAGCCAATATGTAAACTCCAGTGGGTTTGCTGGCTGGGGGTGGAGTCCAACACTTCTCCAGAAACCAGAACAGTGCAGCTGGTATAGACAGTAGAGTTTGTTGGGCAACCATTTAGACTCAAGATAAACTACGATCTGTTGCTCCATCAAACAGTTAAGCATCTCCTGCCTCCAACAAGACCTGCTGCACTTTCAACAATTGCAGAGAAGAGGGATTTCGAGTTGCAGCACGGTTTGTTTGTACTTTCCTTTTTCATTTTGGCCATGCAAGCCAGGATCATGGGAAAAACTTCACCAACCAAAATTCCCTATTCTGTACAGTGTTCGGAAGTGCACCTCCCTCCTCCAAATTTCCCCAATCTGGTGGTCTCCAGGTGTGTTGGACGACAAACCCCCCTCATCTCCAATGCACCTGGCTGGAGACGATGGGGTTTGTAGTCCAACAAGCCTAAAGGGCCCCGGGTTGAGCAAGGTTCTCGGGAGGGGCTGCATTTCTGCAAGAGCTCCTGTCCCAGTTTCCTGCCCTTTTGTGCCGCTTCTCTCGCTAGCTGGCCCTCTCTTCCCTTTGATCTGTGGTCTTTCTCTCTCCCGTCCTTCTGAACTCACCTCTCCAGTCGTTCTGCAGCCCCTGCAGACCTGCAGTCTAGAAGGCACAAAAGCAGCGATAACACAAATGCATGCAAAGGGCTGTCGCTTCTGTCCCCAGCAAGGCAGCGGCGGCGGCGGCAGCAGCAGCAGGAGCGGAGGGGGCAGGAAGTGGAATTCGGCGGCGGCTTGAAAGAGATTCCTTCTCCCTGCCCGTCTAGGAATCAGACCTCGGCCACTTTAACCCCTTGACTCCCTGATGGAAAGCCCCTGAGAGGCAGCAGAGGGGCGAAGAGATGCTGCATGGAGTGAACGAGCATGGGGGGCAACTGCGCTTGCGGAAAGGGGAGGCTCTGGGAGGGAGTAACCCCTGGCAGCCTTCCCTTAACGGGGTCTTTCCAGTTGGGACTCCAACTTCCATCTGCCCCAGCCAGCAGTCAAAGAGAACGGTGCTGGAGGCCAAAACTTCTGGCGGGATCATTACAAAATCCACATTTGGACAATAGCAGTCTCAGTTCCTACCAATTTCATCCTGCCTTTCTCTGTAAAGCACCCCAGGCAGCTAATAAGGCCCTCCTGCTCTCCAGCCTATCGTTACAGCAACCCTGTGAGGTTGGCTAGCCTGAGAATTGGCGACTGGCCCAAAGTGAATTTTATGGACATGGGGGAATGCAAATACAGCTCTCCAGAAGCCCAGTCCAACGCTCCAACCATTATGTCGCCCTGGGTGGGAAACAGTTGGATAACAATTCTCATTCGGTCTAGACCAGACCTGGGCATTGCACGGCCCGATGGCTGACCCTGACTGGCCCGCATGAGGTCACTGGCACATTAAAAGTCGGTGCAAATATATATCGTTGTAATATTGATGCAAGCAATACAACAGCACTGCTTTTATTTTGAAGGATCTGCTAAATTGAATTGAATTTATTGCTTTTCAGGTAATGTTAATGTTTTTGTGAATATTCATTAGTGTTGTTCTGTGCTCCACATTTTCATTGTATCATTGTAATGTTTCATTTACTGTTTTTATAGAGATATATATTGAGCAGAGCTGAAAGTGTATTGGTCCGGCCCTTAACAACTGTCAAAAAGTTTCTCATGTGGCCCCATAGGAAAATTAATTGCCCACCCCTGCTTTAGACAGTAATGCCAATGGGTAAGGTTGATCGGAGTTGTAATCCAACTCTGGGAGAGGATGGACCACCAAAAATGCACAAATATCTGGAGAAGCTTTCGCCATTATCAAGTCAAAAGCATCGCAAATACTTGAGAGGTGTGTGGAAGAGGAGGCAGGTGGAAAGACAGCTTTGATGTTGAAGTCAGGACATGTTCATGGCCAGGACCATGAGGAGTCATGGCAGCGACTCAAAGTAGCTTCTGCGTAATTGTTATGCGGTTTTTATGCTACCACAGAGTTGAGTGTTGGGTTACGAGAACATGTAACAGATTGTTCCCTTTTGCTTTTATGGTAACATCTTCCTGGGAAGATGCAGCAGATGCCATGGACCTCTCCCACATACGTATCTCCTGTGGATTTCAAAGCTTGGAATATTGAAGAGACGTGGACTTGGGGCTTTCTTAGATGAGGTTCCGTATTGACTACTTCTCCTTCCGGGTTCCTTGCAGAAGTAAGATTCAAGAACTGAAATTAACTTTCCATGTTTTTTTGCTGCAGTTGTGTTGCGGTTTAGCAGAATTGCACAGCTATGTCAGTGGAGACTAGTGTTTCGTTTCCCTTTCACTAATATACTAGGATAAACTAGAGGTTGAGAACATGATTTAAAGTTTTTATGGGCCATCAAGTCATCTGGCTTGATCAGATCTAGGACCCCCATGTTTGTCTTTCTGCTGCTCCAGAGTATCCACAAAGCATTTTTCCTGCACCATGTTTCAAATGCATCAATTTCCTTCCTGTCAGTTTTCTTCATTTTCAAAGCTTAATGTGTGAAGTTGGGCTAGTCAGAGACTCTCAGCACAACCTATCTCACAGGGATGTTGTGATGATAAAACAGAGGAAGGGTTCCATGAACGTCACCTAAGGTTCTTTGAAAATGGACACAAACTCACACACCAAATCATTGGGAATTAAAGGGAGGGAGAGTTTAGTTGAACATACTTACCAGGGGGCTCATGTTGCAGAAAGCCAGATTCCAGCTAGATATCAAGAAAACTTTCCTGAATGTTAAAGCAATGCAACAATGGAACCAGTGACCTGGAGAGATGGTGGGCATTTCCACACTGGAGATTCTAGTGTAACTGGGCAGCCATCCAAGAGGGTTAATTTAAGTTGGAGTTCTGCACTGGGGAGGGGTTGGACCCAATGACCTCTTCCAAATCTACTATGCTTCTATGATTCTATGGTTACTTTATTTTGCTTATGGACCAGTAAAATGCAGCATACAAGTAGTAAAATATTAGTACAGTAAAATAAGTAAAATCACATGAGTAATTAAAGCAGGCACTTAAAATGTAATAAAATCAATGTGTGAAGTAAAATAATTTAAACATAAAATTAAATTACATTATTATAGTTCATAACCCACAAATTTAAAATAATGCATGGTGAGGAGAAAGTAGAGAAAACATTTTTCTCCCTCTCCCATAACGGTCAAACCCAGGGTTTTCTAATAGATAGAAAAATCTATTAGGTGGATCCAAAACTGGCTGCTAAATCAGACACAAAGAGTGCTCATCAAGGACACCTTCTCAAACTGGAGGGAGGTAACTAGTAGGATGCCACAGGGTTCAGT